CCGACCATCGTTGGCTACATTTTATTGAATCATCTGATCCCAGTAATTACCAATAGTTGGATTTTTAAGGAAAAACATTGTTATAACATAGAGAGTATCTACGAAGCCTCAAAAACACACTCCACTGGTGCATAACCAGAAGTGCAGCAAGCAAAATTGACATTTTAGAACTCACCTTCATTACTGCTAATATCACGAAAATGACGATGGTAACTCTCATTTTAAATTTAATAAAGGTCAGGTTACCACACGATGCCTATTCTACCCTAAGTTCTAGCTGTGTTTATTATAACAAATATATGCACAAGTTTTGCACGGTCCACAATCCAGTTTAATTTAATATAATTGTCTTTTAATAAAAATACTCATGTTGTCCACAGTCCACATATAAATACCATACCAATTTAATTTAATATAATTGTCTTTTTTAAAAAAAAATTATTATGAATACATTTATGCATACACCGCTAGTGGGCTGATTGTACTTTCAATGAGATTTTATTATGTTTGATCTCTACATTGAACTGGTCTTCTATTGATAATCTATTAGATTGTAGTAGAAATTAATCACCAAATATAATACAATTAAAGGCCATAAAGAAGTGTACTAAATATGATGGCTAACATAAATCATAAATCATAAATATGTAAGCATAATATACGCATTAGTCAACATGAGACATATACCATACAACTTAAGACAAAGGCTATAAGAATGAGAGACATCAACATAGTCATAGGCATAATCAATGCATCTATATCAACCTAATTTAATTGAAACACTTCATAAGCACCCTCAAAGCATGTTTGTGCAATGCAATGCATGGAAAAGACCCCATAAATCTCACCCATGCTAAGCAAAACCACTTTAGGCTCTCATTCATATTCGTCGTCTTTTAATCTCATCCATAACTTATTTCTCATAGACAAGGGAACATTCAACTTTAGTCAAGCATATCAAGGAAAACAACTATAGCAACAACCCGAGCTAAGCATATATCGTGCAATCAATCTCATATAGAAACATACTTACAATACTTTTTTGCAGTAATCTTGTTAAATCATACACATGGTACTTTTATTAGGGAATTGTCCCTCTTTATTCATTCTTACTACTCATGATAGATCAGTATTCCACTACTTGTCCATGACAGATCGTTTTCTATATATGTAATTTCATCGTTTGTGGATATGATTTAAAATATACGGTATAATTATTAAATAATGATGTTATGAGTATTATTTTTAAACTATAGGTAAAATATGTATATGTGGTAGCTAAGTATATCTAATTAGGTGTGTTTTACTAAATTACATGATCATAATTTTGTTCGCTTCATGCCAAACATACTTAATATATATTATGTGTATAGCTATACCTAATAAATGTATAATTTCTATATACCAAGTTGAAACAGCCATCTTACAAGCCATCAATGTGGAACCATTTTTTTTATAGAGAATTCAACCTATCCCTGTTACAGGAATTTCAGTGGCTCTGATGTTACTCCGGTAACAATGCATTTTATTGCAGCAGACGTGCCTCTATCCAAGGACAATATAATATGGCCGGCGGGTCAAGGAATTTGGTGCCTAGCATTTCAACCAACGGGAGGTCAAGCTTTCTACGGGAATGTGGCCCAAATTAACTTCCTAGTTTGCTATGGTCTACATAAAATGATAGTATCTTTCAAGCCCACTGATTGTACCAAGATGCCTTCAATTAAATTAATATGAATATTTGCATTTAAATTTGGTGTCTAGCATTTCGACCAACGGAAGCTCAAGCTTACTATGGCTCTTTAGTGGTCCAAACAAACTGAATAAAATCTCCCTATTAACATAACTGTTTCCGCTTAATTTGTAATAATAATATCCTATTTAAACAAAAAGATAAACACATGGCAAATTAAATGGATTCATTCAAAACACATAACTAAATAAATACAAAAGTTATATTAGAAAAAGCAAAAAAGTACCAACATTTTAATACATAGGGTTTGTGGTACATTGTTATTTAATAGCTAGCTAGATGAAGTATCGCACACATTTTAAAATTATTTCTTTGATATCAATAAAATATACTTGTAAATTAGGTAAACAATCAATCAGTGTCATTGTTTTACAGGAGTAACACGTACAAATTGATCAACATAAAGAAAAGGAAATTATATCATTAAAAAACATATATTTTTTTATTTGTAATATTTTAATCAAACGTGGCAACAATGTTATGTGCTTTTATGTAACGCCTACTTAATTAAAATAAATCATATCCGTAAAAAGTTTTAATGGATTTTAAAATTTTATTTATTCATGAAATTCATATTTACATGCTATAAAAAGAAAATTATTTGTCATTTTAAATTTCTCCTTGATGATAAATTTATTGAGTCATTTTATTAATATAAATATTTAAGTTGAATAATTTTATTAATACAAAATAAAATTTAATAATTTTACTCGATAAATTTTAAAATTAAATTATCTTTTGAGATATCAACTCGTTATTTTTATTTATTTAATATAGTAATGTGGATTACATAACAGGAAGGAGGACTTGGTCACAATCCACCCATCTACGGGAATGTAGCCCAAAATAACTTCCTAATTGGCTATGATCTACATAAAATGATCGTATCTTTTGTAACGATCTTTTTGATGGTTTCGAGTACTGATTAAAGCCTTGTGTTTTATGAAATATTTTTTAATAAATTTTAAATGAATATTTTAGATTATTTATAATTATAATTATAGAATTAATGAGGTATTTTTAATAATTTATTTAATTAACGGTTAAAAAATGATACTAAAATTAATAGTGAGCCATTTTTATTATTTTTATAATTAATCTTATATAATAATTAGGGAGTAAATATTTTTAAAAAAAAAGGATTTGGGCGAGAAACACGACGTAAAAACTGATTGTGCATCATCACCGGATAAACACAAGGAGAATATTGTGGCTTCAAGTAAGTCACTCAGGAATATTAAATCTTATATTACATTGTGGGTTGTTTAATATACCAGTCATTATATTATTAATAGTGAAAAAGGAGGTAGAAAGATTGAATTGAAAAAGTTAAAAACGGAGGCACTAGTAAATTGGACTTGGGGGAATATAAAGTTTTGATATATTGTGATAGACATTATGTATCCTATAGACAAATCAATCTACATATACTAAACTCTATTTGTAATATAAAATATTACATCTTGTTGTTTCTCCAAATTAATCACTCCAAGCCTTAAAATTTGGTATTTGGAGCGGTTATCCTGTCACAAAAATTGCAATACGATCAAATTAATTTACGTACGACAAAAAAATTGAAACAGAAAGGACAATGTAACTAAACTTACTCAGAACAATTGACTTTTGGTGTGGTAGGGAAAGACAAGAGAACTTGGCAACCCCAAGTAAGTGATTCAGCTGCTTTTGCATTGATATGTGGATCTTGTAATCCTCCCTTAATACATTCACAAATTGCTACTTCTGCTTGTGAGTCTTTTCCCATAGTATTAAGTTTAAATATTTGATTGCAACAAGCCTTTGGAGGAACCTTACTATTCTTATAACCACTCATTGTCCATTCTATACAAGATTTCATATGTCTATTTATATCTCTACATTTAACTTGATTAGCTTCTAAACTATGCACGGGTTTCAATGAAGACGAATTCGAAAACGATAAGGAGGAGATAATAATTAGAATAACAACAAGAGAAATTGATGTTGATGATGGACTCATTGTGAAGTTTCGATAGGTAATCTGTCTTATTTTCAGATAGGTTAAAGATAGATACGTTTAAAAAGATTTTTTTTTTTGTTTGTTATAGTAGATGTGGCTAAAGTTTATCAATATTTATAAAGATGTATGTGACGTGATTTTGAAGTTGGATTATTATCCACCATATTTCTAACAAGGATAAAGGAGGTACCACGTATGTTTGTGAGGGTGCTGCTTAATTCACTCTCCACATAATTAAGAAGTTAGCTCATTGAGGCCATTCAAATTATATAAAATTATAAATTTTGTTTTATATATAGGTTAATCCAAAAATATAGATTTAAAAATATTCCAATATTATCAAAGTAAAAGGAGACAAATTAAAGGTTGATCATATAGAGGGTAATTAAATTGAGAACTTAAAATGTTCCATTGAGATAAATGAGAAGGAGAATGTGAATTATTCAAAATGAGTAGGAGATGTTACATTTCTAAAACAAAATTGAACGAGTATATAATTTTCACCCTTTTATTTTTGCGATTGGTCAATTTACTGCAAAAATAATAAAAAAAAATACAGACTAGTGCAGATTGCTATTTAGTGTTTTTACAACTATAGGAACATAAACATAAGACGAAATACACGCAATTGAGAAATAATTACATGAAGATGCAGGAAAATGAAATACCAAATAATTGATTCTAAAAGAAAAAACACAAATTGAAAATTCATGGAATATATATTTATACTCATAATTCCAGCAAGAGCTTCATCTTAGTGATTTCCAAATTAAGATCATTTTATCCTGCCAAAAGAACAAACGTTTAATCTACACGATGTAATTATAGCAAAGTAATAAATACATTAGAACCAATAAACAGAAAAAAAATAAATTAAAAAAATTCCTCGTACGTAGTACATATATATAGTTTATTACTATTCCAATAGTTCACCAAAAAAAAAAAATTCAAATATGTTTGGTTATAGTATCAAGCTACTTATTTAAACATATACTATTATTATGATTACAACCTATAAGGTAAACTTATTGAAGTACATATACTAATTAAATAATACAAAAGAATGCACAAATTTTACCTACATCAGCAATAACATTATAATGGTGAGTCCGAAGCCTAAAAGTATAAAATATTAACAAAAATTTTAAAATGGTATTTTAAAATTTTACATTAACCAAAACAGTAAAATCGCGAGCAACGGCGATTTTAGAAAATCGCTGCCTATTTTTTGAAAAAGAAAATCGCTGTCAAGGCAGTGGTTTTCATTTTTTTTAAAAAATAAATTTTTGTTTAGAAAATCGCTGCCTAGGCAGCGATTTTATTTTATTTTTTTGATTTTTTTTGGAAAAAAATTAATTTAAAAAAATGGAAATCAATACCTAGGCAACGGTTTTCTAAAGAAAAAAGTTTTTTACAAAAAAAATTAAAAATCGCTGCCTAGGTAGCGATTTGAATTTTTTTTAAAAAATCACATTTTGCAAAATCGTTGCAGTCGATTTTGCTTTTTCCAATGGAGGAAATCGCTGTTATTCCAGCGATTTTGTCATTTTGGTTAATACAAAATTTTATGTACCGTTTTAAATTTTTTGTTAATATTTTATACCTTTAAGCTCCGAACTCTTATAATGATCCATGTCATGTAAATATTATTTTTCGTATCAATATGTCGAACTTAAACTCGTACCAGGACATTTGACATAAGGAGAGAAAGTGAAGGGCAAGGTGATTCCACATCTATGGGGAAGCGCTTTAGCTGTTGCATCTGAGATTCTCAAATCTTTTATTGCTGACTGAACACATCTACAAACAGCTGACCTATTAGCAGTGTTATTCGCGATTTGAGAGAGAGTTAAAGCTCCAGCACAACACGCGTATGGAGGAATCCCAGTCACCCCACTTCCGCCCTTGAAGAACACCATGCAAGGTCTCAAGGCTCGTTCTATGTTGTCACACTTAATGTTATCGGCTTGTGAGTTATAAGTTTGGAGAATCAAGATAAAGAGTAGTAAAAATAATGTTACAAAAGGATATGTAGGCTTCATGGTGAAGTTAAGGATATTGGGATTTTTTTGAGTTTTTGATTTAATTCTTAACGAATGATTTGTGGTTTAATTTATAGAAGTTTTGAAGGGACATGAAAACAAATAAAGTTGTTTGGTTGATGACGATATATCGAATTGGCTAAAGATAATGGAGAAGATTAAAATAAAAATAGATGCATTATTCACTATCAATGGAATAGGTGAAAAATTATAGGATTACAATAAATTACTAGTAAATTAAACATCAAAAAGTGATTTCCTTCTTCTTCTTTTTTACCCTATAAAAAACTTTATATTCTAAATTACAGTAATATGATATAATGTTCATTAAAATAATTAAGGTGCATAGAGTTTGCATGGCTTACGTAGGATTTTCACATGGAAGATGCCATGCTATATTTGTTTGTAATCGAGTTTGCCCTAAAATAAGGGAACACTTATACGGCTCATAGCTATCTATCATCACAAATCTTCTATAAGAAAAACTTTAATACAATGTATTTCAAATTCATATAAAAAAAAATAGATTAGTTTGATTTATCTCAAGCCCAAAAGAAGAAAAAAATAACAAAAACTTTGATAAATTCTCGTAACGTACATATTTTATTTAATTCAATGTAAGCGCAGCTAACTTGTATTATAAGAAAAGTTAATTGAATTTTCTCCTCATCGAAGAAAACACAATTATATTACATGCAGAAAAAAAAAAGTGCAAAAATACTGAACATAACATCGACATATATTATATTACAAATATAAACCAGGAAAAAAAATCACAATTATAACTTATATGCATCTCGACAAACTTTATTTTGCTATATATAAATAAGCGTTCATCATGCCTTGTATATTATATATGGCATCCTTAAAAACACTTCAATTGATCCTGCAAGAGTAGTAACAATGTACAAAATTATATATCAAGGACATACCGACAAAAGTTATTAGTCCATAAAAAACATTGTTTATGACTCGGTCCGGTTATTAACTCAACTTATATCTAGCTCGAGTTAAGCTTATATTTAAAAATTGAACTGATTTACTTAAAATATGCAAGTCAAATTGATCCAATTGATATATCGTCAAAATATTTTAAAAGAATTCCCTTTTTGATTTGATATGTTATATGTATAAAAATAAAATAAAAAAAGTTTAATTTTGTATGCCAATTAAACAAATCATAAGGAAATAAAATAAAATTTGACCAGTGTTAGGAAGGTTGGGTTATGAGTTATGACCCATTGGTTTCACATCTCAACCCACTGATCAACATTTATCCACTCAACTCGTTTAAAATTCAGTTTAGTCCGCTCATTTGGTACTCTTAATTTCATTTTACTTTGGTTCAGCCAATATTTAGGCATATTATGGACCTCTAGTAGTACTAAAAAGTTCCATAATATAACATTTTTCAGGGAAAACATTATTTTGTAAAATTATGTATGAAAACTGACTATTGTCGTGTCAAACGCGCTAACAAGGGTGGAGGAAAGTAATATTACTTGGTGCAGTCAACAGTGGGTGAAATAGGGAATGACAATGAGATTCCACAACTCTTGGGAAGACTCCCAGCAAGTTGAGAGTTAATTTTGATTTTTTGAGATGCATTCTTTAGACAAGTGCATGCAGCCTGTCTATCTGGAACAGTTGTTGCAGCAGATGCAAGAGATTGGCAACCATCACAACAAGGTTGTGGTGGCTTCCCACCACTGCCTTGTAAATAGCTGAGGCAGGGCTTGATTGAGCTAATTACTGTGCCACAAGTGATAGCACCTTCTGAAGATGGTGTAATTAGTAAGAGAATTAGAGTCATGGTGAATGGTACTAGTACTAATTTTGCTTGGTTTGAGGAATTCATGGTTGGTTAAAAGATTTTGGACTTGTGTTGTTGAGAGTGATCTTTTGTTCTGTTTTTTATAGATGAAACTTGAGAAAACTCACTAGCACAAGTAAGTTATAATAATGAAAGATTATGTTTGGTTTATGTGATTGAGTGCAAGAAATGATGGAAAATTATTGATGTATTTTCTAGATTTGGGTATTGTTATGTGGAAAGTCAAAAGTTTGGTGCAATGGAGATTGAGGCAATTAGGAATTCAACTCTGCAAAGACATCGAATGATCAATGTGAAATTTCTTGAGTCTATATGTCATTACGTGTACACGTTTTTACTAAGTTAATAATTTGAACCTTGAATTAGAATTTAAGAAATTGTGTACTTATTTAAAGGAAAAATTGTATATAATAGTAAACTAATAACCTCAAATAAATGGAATAGTTAAGGTTTGATTTAATTGTACTCCATTGCAAACATTAGCTAAAATTTGCCAGCGTCTCTCTCCCAAAAATCTCGCTCACCACTCTCCATTCTCGCTCGCCTCTCTCGCTTTATACACAGAAGTGTATAATTCTGTTTCTGT